ATATTCTAATTTTCACAATTTTATTTATATATAAACGCAACAACATAAATTTATATTTTCAAATAATTATCATTGTTCTTTTTTAATAATTACTTGTGTATAATGTTTATTTAATGTATATATAATGTTTTATAATATTTTATAATTTTATAATATTTTATTCCTTAGATAGTGAAAATGATTACATTTGTTACAATAAGTTATTTTATACAATTATTTTAATTATACATTGAATATAGCATGATTTATTTATAACAATAGAAATAACAGTAATAGTATCTTAGATCTTAATTTTATGTGATTAAGCAATTATATAAATACTAAATTGAAATTACTATTAGTTTTAAATATTTTATATAAAAGAAAAATTATTCTAGAAAGAATGTCATACCTGAAGAATAGTGAAATTCTCGAGAACGCTGTTCATCATGTACTTTTCTGGCAGGTGCTTCAATTTATGTATGAAGTTGATCATATATTCGCACATAGGCGAACGACTAATACGATAGACGAACCTGCCATTTTCGAACCTAGCGTATTCTGTCTCCACTTTTTCCACCACTTGTTTCCCGAAGGAGCAGACTTTGGTCGAACATGTTATCGTCATGTTCTCGTTGCTCTCGTACCTATGAAAAACAATTTTGTTAATAATTTTTTGGAAATATTAATTTAAAAATTTATAATATATTAATTAATTAAAAATTAAAAATTAAAAATTAAAAAAACTATAAAAGTGATATATCACGATAACTATTACTTACTGGCTTGTTACGCCGTAAAAAGCTCCAGCTTCGTCCTGAATGTTCGTATTGAGATCAGCCCAAAATTTAACGAGGAAAAAAGCTACCTGTGGTCCCTTGTCGTAAAGTTCCTTCAGGCCGCCCTTTTTTTCTGGGAATTTATCGTATATCTGCCTGACATCAACAGCCTCTAGCAATGGATCTGCATAAGTCGCGGACCCTCCTATGTGGACGAACAGGTGCTTGTGATACTGCAAAAAAAAAAAACGGAAAAAAAAAATTCTAATGTTTGCCGGGGTAAAATTGCGACTTTTGGTCGGCAATGCTTTGTCCCCTGATTTTTTCATCATTTTTTTTTCTTTCCATAATATAACCGTATCTCTATATATTTAAAATTTATTATTTATAAATTAAAATTGTTAATATTATATCAGAAGATATCATCGAATTATAAATAAATATATTTAATTTTTAGATAATTTATACATATTTGTAACAAGAGAATTTAAGTGACACATTATTTTTTATATTATTTTTATCTTTATGCAACAGTTAAAGATTATATTTCAATATTTATAACAGAATTAACAAATTTTTATTATAAACATAAGCTCAAATCATAATAGTTATGACACTTTAATATTTTCAAAACGAATATTTTAAATCTTATCAAAGATAAAATAAGAAATATAATAGCGAAATTTAATAATATTTCTGTACTTTCATACACTTAATTAATAATTTTAATTCTATTAATATATATAATTATTAATTTTGAATTCTTATGTACTTGTAAATTAAGAATCATTCCAAAAAATAATTTATTGCAAATCAGAAGATTATAGCCATCTATATTGTTCAAATCAATAACTTGATCAGTATCTGAAAAAATTGTTTGAAATTTTATTTGAATCATCGTGTACATCGAATTTGATTCTATCACTAACAATCAAACTATTAGCCACCATTTTATTTCGCACTTACAATATCCTGATCTCTCTGGTGCTCCATGTAGGCCGAGAACTCGACAAGCCTGAGCTTGTGAGTTGCGATGGCACGTCCTTCCCAGGGCGGGGGTGGTTGAGCCTGGACCATGTCACCGCTTGAAACCGCTGTCGCTGGTTTTCCGGTGTACGCCGGCTGCGAAAACGGTTTGACATCCTGGGACGTTCCTGGCTGCAAACCCGGTTGCCAGAATTGCTGAAAAGTCGATATCTCGTTTTTTTTTCTTTGTTACAAGTTTGTCAAGCATTTTGCCGTTCGAACGGGATCGTTTTCAAAAGTTTGTATATATCGGTAGAATGTTTATGCGTTTAATAAAAATTTAAAGGAAAAAATGCGAAGAATATTATAGTGAAGTAGAATAACGTGTGCAATTTGATTCTTTTTTTTTTTAAACTTTTTTAATGATTTTTTTGATTCCGATAAATTGAAATATTTCTCTCATTGAAATATTTATAGGTTAGAATGTTTGTTTTCTTTCCAAGCCATTGTATTTATGTAATGAATACAGAGAATAATTATTAAATAACTTTTAATTCGTTTTTTAAATATAAATTTTTTCTTCTTTTCAGGTTATCGATTTATAAATAAGAAAATATCAAAATTAAGTATGATATTATACAAATACGTTTCGTATATTTCAGGAATTATTTTAGTCAAATGAAAACGAATTGGAATAATACTTCGAACATAGTTACAAGCTAAACTTGAAGAAAAAACTTGTCTCTTCCGATTTATATTTATTTTCAACCTACGACAATTTTATTTGATATATTTTACTTTAACATTCAATTCTTTATTAATATTAATATTCAATATCATTATCATGTTAAAAAATTCAGAAAAAAATATGATTTATTTTATATAATTCGAACATGTTAAATAATTCATTTCATAAACAAACAAATTCGAAGTAGGTATCAGGAAGAGATATTATTTTTTTCCGTAAGCCATCGAGCCCTCGGGTGAGGAACAATCGTGACGTTTGAGGTTAAGTTGGAGGAAAGTTACACAAAGTACACAAAAAACGAACAAAAGAGAATTAACATGAATATTAAATACACAATTAAATAAAAAAAAATTATAAAAAAAGAAGAAAGAAACGTACAAACACAACAGCAAAGGAAAATAATAGTAGTTGTATTACGTGAAGAGAGAAAGACAGTTTGGTAAGCCACAACGACGCCTAACAACGTGTAATTAATGTCCAAAAATTCCAATTTTATACAATATGCAAACCCGTGTATGTATGTGTGTATATATGCCCAGGTGATATACATATGTAAAAAAGATAGAGCGACGGACAAATTGAACAATACACAACAAGGGCCCCCAGGGGCGTAGCAGCAGAGAGCAAGGGGGTATCTTTTTTTTTTTATGAGGATGGTTAGTTTTCATCGCGTAAGCTTTCATGATCAAGAGAGTGTTAGAGAGAAAAGATATAAATAAAAAAAAAGAAAAAATGAAAGAAAAACAAGAAATATAATAATAAAAAAAAAAAAAATCAAGGTTCTAATTTCGTGGTTTTAGAAATAATTTTCTTCTAACCTATTTCTCTTTTTTCTCTGGATAATCGTAAGCAGCACAACGCGAACAAAAAGCTGGTTAATAGATCAGATACAGAACAAAAGAAACAGAATAGAAATTGTATATGTGTATTTTGCAAATGTGCAAATAATAAAAAAAAAAAAAAAATGAGAGAAATGGATTTCTTGCATCTTATTTTAATATTAAAAATTTTGAACATCGTCCAATTTCCGATTTCAATAATATTTTCCGGTAAATGAAATTTTGAATTCGAAGTATAAATCAATGTGTAAAGCGAATAATTTCAAATAATAATTCGACTTGATTAAAAAATTTTTTTAATTTATGGAAATAATTAATAAGAAAAGAATAGATGATGATGGAATAAATTATTATACAATAAAATGGACAATCTTATTCAAATTTATATTTTAAAAAATAAAATAATAATAAAATTTTGTAATAATTTTTGTATTATTTAATAATGAAAAACAATGTATATGAACTAACTGTAATATAAAAATAATAAGCGAAAATTTTCTTTCTTTAATTGTGTATGTGTATGTTATTCATATGTGATATTTTGCAAAAGCATGAAAGAACTCGCGACACGAGCAAGAACATTTTAGGATAGTTAAGACAAAACCACACGATTATGATCGGCCTCAAGCGGATTAAAGACGGTTATAAAGGGCGAAGCGGTTAGAGTGAAAAGAAAACAGATATGAACGTTAAATAAGAAGCCAAACTGACAGTGTATAAATAGGAATTAAATTTCATATCCTCAAGACGACGAGACACCGATCGTTCGTCCAGCGAAAAAATATAAATAAAAATGCGATTACTAGGGATAACAAGATATCACTAGTGTCGTCAACAATTAACTAATCCCTTACAAGCATATTTCGATATTACAACATTAACTGCATTTTTCTCGATTTACGTATTTATTTTTTTTATCATTTCTATTATTTTTTTAAATAAAAAATTAATATCCGAGAGAATATTCTAATAAATTTTTATCAATATAATGAATCTGCCTGTAATAAAGATTAGGAATAAATTTTCATTTCTTAAATCAATTCTCTATATTTACAATTTGAACTTCTCTTATTTTGAAAATCATAATTAACATAACAAAATTATGACAAGAAATAAAAAAAAAAAAAAATCATTGTTAATCGATTCGAATCTTTCTCTCTTTACGTATTGTGTCGTGTAAACGTGTCTCGTCGTCTCCCCCCCAAGCCCGTGGCTCCTTTTTTTCATTTTTTTTTTTTTTTTTTTTTCTTTTATTATTTCGTCTATTCTCATAAAAAGAAAATTGGCCGCTTAAAAAGAGAGAACAAAAAAATTGTTTCAAGGGGTTCTCCGTGATCGGGACTTACCGCTCCGGGATAGGAGACAGGGGTGGAAGCATGAAGGGCAAGGGGCCCCACGAGGGCG